ATCTCCCATCAATAGGCCAAGGGATCTCATACGCAGACCTTGTAGGGCTGGGCACATAAATATACCTTCACAGCTTTCACAAGGTCTCTGGCTGGGGCAAGCCGTAGCGAGATTTCCCTGAAAAGACTCAGCTCCTGAACTTGCTTGACCAGCCAATCCTTTGTGGCTGCGTTAGCACAGCCTCAACCTTTCTTCCTGGAGGCTTCATTAGAGTCAGCTTTGAGGGTACCACCCTTGCCCTGATTTTTCCCAGCATCCTAGTTCCATGAGGAACTGGCTTTGCAGGGAGCAGAGTTAGGGTGCTTGGCAGCCCTCACCAGCCTCCTCTCTCTTCTGGATAGCATCTTTTCGCCTTTGTCTAAAGCATCCGCTATCCTCCGTCTTTGCAACTCGCCGCTGGAGTCGTTTTTCGTACGAGGGATCTCATACGTAGACCTTGTAGGGCTGGGCACATAAATATACCTTCACAGCTTTCACAAGGTCTCTGGCTGGGGCAAGCCGTAGCGAGATTTCCCTGAAAGGACTCAGCTCCTGAACTTGCTTCACCAGCCAATCCTTTGTGGCTGCGTCAGCACAGCCTCCACCTTTCTTCCTGGAGGCTTCATTAGAGTCAGCTTTGGGGGTACCACCCTTGCTCTGCTTTTTCCCAGCATCCTCGTTCCCGGAGGAACTGGCTTTGCAGGCAGCAGAGTTAGGGTGCTTGGCAGCCCACACCAGCCTCCTCTCACTTCTGGATAGCACCTTTTCGCCTTTGGCTTAAGCATCCGCTATCCTCCATCTTTGCAACTCGCCCCTGGAAAGTCGTTTTTCGTTCCTTTCCGGTTTCTGCGAGCTTGTCGTCATCGTCAGATTTCAGTAGACCTTCCTCCTCCATTTGGGTCAGATTGTCTACATTGTTCTCACGAATACCGGGTATTTAAGTCCACCTCCCCAGTGACCCGATTAGAGAGGTAAGGGGTGCGTACGACTGGGTTACCCCTGGTTCCCAGAAGGCTTCGTTAAGACTCTGAATATTAGGCTCCCAGTGCCACAAGACTTTTGGCACGGATTGCATTACACCTTAGTCTAGGGCCCCCCTCACTTGGTTCTGTAGGTGGACCAACAGTGGCAGAAGGTAGATCTCCGCAGCTAACAAGTTAGAGTTGGGGTTTAGGCTGTGGCCAATCTGCCGAACCAACCCCGCATGCGAGGTTTGGCCGGAACGGCGCGAAATTTTCTCCCCATACCTTCCATGACAGTAGCTGCTTAGATAGCTTTTACTCATTGGACCATTTTTACAGCCAAAATAGATTTTTTAGGCTGCTGCTCAGTGCACTTTAAGAATATATATTTTAGAGATAAATTAAATGGTTTTTGTTGCTGAGTAGCGCTAGTAAACATGCACAACCCTTTTCGTTAGTCTAATAACATTCAAAGGCTCTCTAAGAGTTCAGGTTCTTATTTGTATACATATCCATATTATGTTTTCACTAAGCTGAATGAATACATCGAGAAGTAACCTCTCTGAAAAGTCCGCAGTATATTGCAGTTTTCTTAATGACTTTCTAAATCATACACATATTTGTACATAAATATTCTAAAATGTTTTATCCAGTTGCTGTAAACCACTATTATTTTAACAAAATATGTACACGGCTCAAATGGGCACCCTGCCCTTCTGCACTTGTATTATTATTTTGTATTGTATTACACAATCGATGATTTTTCCAATGATTGAAAGCATGTATGACAATAATCTCATGAACCTATGATGATCTGTCTGGAATAATATGATAAAATATAGGGAAAAGGTGTGAAAAAGGCAGACACCAACCCGTAAAATAGATATAAGATGGTTAAATAACAAATAATAGTAAGAGTTATTATGATAAAAGGATTTTCCACTGATTTCGTCATGGAACGTTTATATTGCAACACATGACATGATACAGAAGAAAATCAATTTTAAAATCAGAAAATAACATTGCAAATACTTCTTTTGGACTATCCAGTAACTCCCAATAAATGTGTGTTGTTTTTAGATACAATTTTAAAATTAACAGCTGTTTTATTATAAAGTATTATCCACATGACCAAAATGTAAACAAATCTGTGGAGGGATCTTTAAAGGCTTCTGGGGCAGAGCCCTAAGCGAATTTACTTTTTTTTTTCTTTTGATAACTCATCTACAGACCAAGACCTTTCCTTGGACACCTCTACCAAGTTTCTACGCCCAGCCGTTCTCTTAAATGAGTGGAGACATGACTCACAAAACATCTATGACAAAACATTTGCCCGTGCCGCGTCGTGTGTGGAACTAAATCCCGAATTTATGTTAAATCGTATTTGTCCGTCAATGTCGTGTGTTTTATTTATTTAAATGTCAGTGTTTTATGTGTTTATAAAACTCGACAACCTCGCAAGAGTGACAAGAGCCTAATGATGAGGTTATAACCTCGAAACCGGTAGCTCATTACTACAAATTTAGGATCATAGACAGAAACAGGTAATCTTATACCATTTTAGTTTTAAATGATTTGGAATAATTTTGGTACATGGTAGCTTTTTGTTAACAAATTTGAACTGATAAAAAAATGTTTGGATCAGGATTTTTATAGGTTTTACAAACTTATACAGAGATATATGTACTGGTACAGTTTTAAGATTTAACTGACTCAATGTTAACACTTTCTTTTGTGTTTTAACTCAATTTACAAACTACATTTCAACTATACCTACTTTTATTCTGTCCAGAGGTAGCTACTACTTATATTTTCTTCTATCAATTACTTCACATTTGCTTTTTTTACATTTACAGAAACTTTCTGTAAATGTAAAAAAAGCCAGAAACCTCCTTTAGTAGTTGTGTTTTTACTGTTTTTACAACACTGCTTTAATATGACTATGGAGAAAATCACAAAACTAAGCTGCACGCAATTCACTTTTGTTTCTATAATCAATTAAATATCTGTAACGTAACTATGTTTCTTTACTCAATGTTTTAAATGATTATGTAAATTAATGCAAATGCATAAACGTTTTGAACTATGAAATAAGTTAAAATAATAACTGTTATGTATTATGTTGTTGATTTTTAATTTGATTAAATTTGTGCCCTGATTAACAATAATAGTGGTTGGCTTTCTAACAAAAGGTAATACAAGTTTTCCATTAGTTAATTTTTGGTTATTATTGCGATCTATATACACTGATCTGCAGGTAGAGATTGAACTTTGGAAAAAGCTCAGTAGCTACGGTAAATCATATCAATTATAAAATGTGAAATCAATATACTGTAAACAGTTTTTTTGCTTTACTCAATGAGCTTTATGTTGTGCGATTATTTTTTCCTTATTTACTTTACACCTATGTACTTTTTTCAACGAAATAAATGTTTAAGTAGGGCCTAAGCTTATCATTTGAAAATTGAATCTTCTGGATACATTATTTTCATAATTGCATCAGTGCCTCATAATTTGTACTAGGTAGCCTTATAAGTTAGCCTAGCCTTAAAGAAAGATATTTTTTCAAACTAAGAGTTGTTTCAATTGAGTTATGTTCCTGAAACCAAAGGGGAATGTGTAACTATTTTATACAACAGAATTACAGATTGAATTTTTCGCTTCAGTGTCCTCTCCGTTGCGAAGCACGGGTACAACAGCTAGTGTTTTATAATTAAAAAAATTGACGACAGCTGGTCCATATAGGTGGGATGTCTACTTCAGTATCAAATAGTCAATGCGTGTACATTACATGTTTTTGGTTGAGTTTTCGACCTCTGGACGACCACTAGTATATATATATATATATATATATATATAGATTGTCCATCTATAATATATTAAGCATATGCATGTGCTTATATTAAGCAAGTTTCTTGAAATCCTTTTTTCTCAGCTCTTGTGCATCACTAACTGTTAGAAAGATATATTCCTGTAGATGTGCAGAATCCCTTTATAGTTTAAAATAGGCTCAAAAATAAGCTAAAAAATTAATCTTAAAAAAAAACTAACATGGACCTTATGGGTTGCCATGCCGGTGACTTTAATATTTTTCAATGAAATGGCGACCATACAAAGAAATAACAACAAAATATAAACCAGGCCCAGTCAGCACACGAGGTATTATATACATATATTTTAGGTCAATCTTGGTAAACTATGTAAAGTATATTGAAATATGTAAAATTCACATATAATTTACTCGCTGATATTTACATAGAAAATATCGTTACCTTTTGTTTTAGGTCAACATGAAATACTGTCTTAATTAATATGTGATTGATTTAAACCTATTTTCTGGCCTATTTCTCGATACATTTAATGTATACTGAATGTAACTTATTCACATCCCATATACTTTAATATTGACGTAAAATATACATTTATTTACGTCAAATATACATAAACCATTTTCCTGGATTCATACCAGATAGATTTGTAAATTTTGCTCAAAGCCTTGAGAAAGATATATTTTCACTCAGACCAAACAGCTGCTTTTAGAGAAAGTTTTTCTTAGAAGAAGGGACAGTAGGAATTTACAATACAGGCAGCTAGACAAAGAACTGTAATACAAAGGGGGTGGCAAGTGCGAAGGTCACTTGTAGAATTCCTTCACCAAGCCAAGAAGTGTAGTTAGACCGAACCGGTTTGGGATTGGGGTTGGGGTTGCAGTGTTGACTTATTGGATCCGAATAAAAATATCGAAGCTAGCCTGATAGATACTAGAATTATATCGATAGTCAATATCAACATCGAACTTGATAGGCTCGATATTTCTATTCGATAGCTTACTGGGCAGTTATGATTAATTTAAATTTATGTAACTACTACAGTCTAAGTTAGAAAAACTAAATAAGTTAATAATTAATAACTAATATTATTATTATTACTAAGGTATAACTGAAATAAATCATAAATCCTTTTTACACGGAGCATTACTGGTCTTTCGATATGCATTGAAAATCGTATTAGCACGATAGTATCGAATGGGTCGGACAGTACCGTAACGCCGACTAGCCGTCAGCCGAGGCCGCCATTGTTGTTTTTGTTTTCGTTTTAGTTGTTTAGTTCTGTGTTTCTGCTGCAGTTCGAGTTCTTTACTTTATCTCTTCTGCTTTTTATTCTGTGTAGTCTCTGCCCTCTTCGAGATCAATATTTCAATCGTTGTTTCCAAAACTTAGCTGTTAATTATTCAGTTTTTTAGTTAGTTTTAAAAGTTTATTTTACAGTTGTAACTTATTTAAGTTCAAGAATCAAGAAGTTTATTGGCCATCGGTGTTACCGTTGGTCCTAGGCCTACTTTTAAGATTTTCGCTAGATCAACCTAACTTATTTATGTTTTCAATTCATCATCAATTTTCTACAACCCTCAAAGGTAAGTGTTCTGCTTTTATTTATGGTCTAAACTTACAAATACTGGATTTTAATTAGGCTAGGCTAAGTTAAGTTACATCACAGACAATTGGATAAAGAAGGTTTGAGTTACATCTTCATTTTTACTGGTCTTGGATGATATTTTCGGTAGGTGTGTATTCTTTCAAGATTTCGGTTGCACTTTAGTTTCTGTCCTACATTTACTATTATAGGACTACTAGCCACGAATACTAGAACATGTTTTCTAGTACGGTACCTATTTAGGTACGGTACTACACAAATAGGTAGGCCTATTTGTGCTACCAGCTGATGAAACTGTTCTAAACTTAACTTAGGACTAACCTTAACCAAACATGCAGTTAAGTACTAGGTAACTTGAGTTATGTGAGTAAATGTAGGACAGAAACTAAAGTGCAGCCAAGATTTTATCAAGTAGGCCTACGATATTAACTAACTTAGGTTAGGCCTATTAATTAGCACATTAGTAAGTTACAGGGTTTTTAAATTTGCAGAGGATACGCATCCGGTAACTGGACGTGGATTAGGCGTCCAGCAGTTACTGTCATAACCTAACCTAACCAACCAAACTTGCTGATAATGAAAAATGATAATGAATGAAGGTTAAATTATGTTCATAATATAAAATTATAAATGCCAAAAATTCTAACAAAAGATGTATAGTTAATGGCATTCAAAGCAAAATCTTTGACAAAAAGTTAAAGTTACCGATGTGATTCGAACCAGGGACCTCTTGCGTTAATCAGCCTAGCACTCTATCCACTACACCACAAACACCGATGGTTGTACATCGTATCGTTGTGGTAATGGCGTTCCGGGCCCTCACAACCCTGTGACGTCAGTGCCGGACGCCTAAGTTAATCCACGTCCTGTTACTGGACGAGTATCCTCTGTGTTTTAAGTTACGCTTGATGTTTTTTAAATTTACAGTAGGTAATGGTAATTCCCAGGCCTACACTAAGATTTTAACGCAACTAATTATATGCTTCATTATGTTAAATTATCAAGAGATAAGTTAATTTTTTGGCTAAGGGTTTTTGAACTTGTCCAGTTTTTGTTAGACGGTTTGTTTATTTACAAATGACTAATAGGTAACTATACTATATGCTAATTAACTTAGGCCCATGTTATACGGACAGCAAGAACGCGACAGATAAAACGCCGACGCTGATCTACAAATTCAGTGCTGTTATACAATCAGCAATCACGCTGTGTCATCGACGCCAGGGAGCTGTTATACGAGCAGTAAACATGCCGCGACAGGCTCCGAGGGAGCCCGAAGGTCGCCGAACTGTGAATTTCCACTCCCGATAAGTCGCCTGGGAACTATCCTGTCGGAGAAGTATGGTGGGGTGAAGCACGGATCTGCTGTGTAAAAGCTGCCCGTATAACAGTAGGTACTCGCATAATTTCTGTCGCGTTTTTTCCGCCAGTTTTACCGGTCCGGTCGCGTTGTCCACGCTGACGCCAGGTTTACAGTGTCCGATGCGACAGATAAAACGTTCGTACGAGTATAACTTGCACACAGTGACGTCCATTGCTCGGTAGGCTTGGCGTCTACGCGGCGAAAAATCTGTCGCGTTTTTTCTGTCCATATAACATGGGCCTTAGGCATACACAATTTCATTCAACAATTATTACAAGGAATTAAGTTAGCTTATGCATGGATAGGTATATCTGTCATAAGTAAATAAGATAAACTTAATTAATTGTGAATGCAACAAATAGGCCTAATTTAAAAAACATACCTTCTGTTGCTGTATCTAGGTTATGTTATGTTCACTCCTAGGGGCCAGTTGTGGAATCAGGTCTGGATTTACTTATTGTTTTGGGAAATAGAATGGTTATAACAGTCAAACACACCTAAGAAGGTACTTAGCCGAAAGTATAAAACGATTAAATATGACTAAAAAGTTTTTTTGTTTTTGTAGATCGACTTCTTCCAAAGGATTGGGGGCGCAACAGTGGTGGACTCTGGCTGTCGAGCCCTCATCAGATCGCGGACAAACGAAGTAGATGTTAGCTTCAGTTGGGAGGGAAGGAAGGGAAAGAGGACCCTCCACAGCCTCAACTTCATAAAACACTGGAGAGTGAGTATAATAGTTGCCTACTAATAGTTACTGGAATCTAATGGAATTTAAATAATAGTCCCTGAAAAGTTATTTTACCTGGGGAGCAGTGATTAACTCTTTTGTTTGAGTTATAATTTTAAATCTATTTTTAAAAAGCTACCCAACTTAATATTTATGAACACTCTTTTTTTAAAGGTGTGTGAAATATTTGATTTATTTCAATCTAATCTGTATCTAATCATGGGGAGACTGTGGGAGAAATTTGTAAGGATGAGATGCCGTTTTTTTTCTTCTAAAACTAATAGGCTAATGTTAAACGTGAATCCGTTCTATATTCATCATTAGTTTCAATTAAAACCCTCTTATGTTCCCAACCGGAGACTTTATTTGGGGCCCCTAATTTAAACCAACAAAAACAGAAAATATCAAAAAGAAAAAGAAGAAATAGTTATAAAAAAAGTTAAAGGAAAATTTTAACAAGCTAACAACAAGTTTAAATTCTTTTAGCGAATTTCCCATATAGGGAATAAGCTATTACTGTAGGTCTCATGGTAAGACCTCGACCCGGGACCGATTTACTTTTTCATTTTGGGGTCCTCCATAGGCCAAAAACACCCTCCGTTTAAATTCATATATATATATGAAATATATACATATGTATGTATATGTCCGTTAGCGCGATATCTCAATCAAAAATGAACCGATTTTGATCAAATTTGGTACTAATGTATAACCTACGTTTATTCAAAATAATTTGAACAGACTATGGGAACGAGGGTTTATGTGTGGTTTTATGGGGTAAAAATTGGGTTTTCTGATTTTTGACTCTAAAAACACAAAACTTCACGATTTCTTTCCATACCATTTTGTATAGCTTATAAAAGAAATCATTTTGTATATTGAAGCGTTGTTGTATGCCTATCGGTTACGGAGATAATCGAAAAATATTGTAAATTAATAATTTATATGTTATTCTCATGGAGAAAAACTGTTGTAGGCTAGTTTGCTTGTAGGCTATATAAATATATTTTTGTCAAATTTGACAATTTTGTTTGTTTCATTCTAGTTTATGAACATTTCAATTGAAATAAAAAAACACTTCAATACCTTCCTTCCTTGTAGCAGCGAACCTAAGTACAGTACTCATTATAATCAATGTTACCTATTTAAATAGGAAATAAATCTTACAATTTTAAGGGAATGCAGTAGAGTCCCGAAAACTCGGCGTAATGTGGACTGGAAGGGTGTCGAGTTTGTGAAATGTCGGGTTATTGGGAACTAGGGTTATAAATAAGAACCATACAATTTGTAATCCTTTTAGCTGCCTTATTTATTTATATTTATATTACAAGTCAGTATTAAGTCATCAGATATAGTACAATAAATCCTTGGTACAAGTTGGGAATGATTTAACTTGAGCCCATGTTTAACTCATGTCGTACTCAAAAATCACTAATTTTCTGAGCCAGGTGATGGCCGAGTTATCCAGACTGCCGGGTTATCGAGTGCCGAGTTTGCGAGACTCTACTGTACTTAAGTAGAAATCCAGCCCAGTAAATGGAAATTTGCTTAGTCTGCAGGGTTGCTGTGGCGGGGGTATTTGATATCCATAACATAAAAAAACTTTTTGTAAATCATTACTTGGCCTCTATTAATCTAGGTAACTACAGTTGGCTCTCAATAATCGGACATTTACTTAAATAGGCCCATTAGAATGTCAGTTTGCCAAAAATGTTTGACTACCAATGTGTGGTGATTTTCCCAATTTCATGGCGATCGTAGGTGGCAATGGTTTCATGATCACAGGATATGTTAACGATTTCGCCGTGATCGTAGGATAGGCTAACTGAGGTTAGTTTGATCTAGGTCCGCAAGTACTCTAATTACGGCACTGTTATTAGTAATGATTATTTCTGGATACACGAATAAGCTAGAGTATGTAGGCTATGTCTAAAACATGCAAAGGTCTACCAGACCAGTCCAAGTAGATGACAGAGAAGTGTTGATGAACGAGTCTATTTGTGGGTCTCCTTAATCCTGAACATTGGATGCGCCATTTTGCTTTGCTTCGACCACGTACTATGCTTACTACTCAAACCGGCCCTGCAAAATATTCCCGAGTTTATACTCATAAAGTATTTAGTATTAACTAATTAGTGTCCAGTGGCATCACCGCCATGTCGGATTATCAAGGGTAAATTGTTTTGAACCCCCGTAAAAAGTCTTCTTCTAAGTTAAAGGACAAAGTAGAAACGACCTTATGAGAAAAAACTGAATCAAACACATTAACACTTGCTTATAACATAACAATTATAGTGAAAACTCTGTGGTATCACATTGTAAAATCATGTTTCAGGTGTTGTTGCAGCGTCTCACGGAGACAATGTCACATACAAGGCATTTGAAACCAAGGTTAATGAATGGTTCCGGCAGGCTCGAAGATTAAATTTTCAAATGTAAAGCTGTACTTGATTTATTAAGATTACATTTTTAATTGTAAAGCTGTACTTTGTACTTATTGCCTACTGTTCTGATTTTAGTTTTGTTGGGTACAAATTCAATTCTAATTACTAATTATATGATATTATGTTATAATGTTATGCAATTCTAGAATGATTAGTTTTCCTTTTGATTAATGAGAATTTGTTTCCTATAAAGTAACACATTTTTATGCATTCAATTCAAACAAATACTAACACACCATGAATGAGTGAAGACAATTTTAAAAAATAAATTAGAACTTACCGCAGTTTTCATAGTACTACCGTACTGACCATAGTTTATCGCCTAAAGAGTCACCCTTAAAAGTGCCTCAAGTTTTTAGGATGAGTAATATTTTTATAATAATTGACTTTAGCTGAGAACTAATCCATCTTTCTTATGTTGATTACTGACAGAACATTTATTATTATGTTTATTTAGGTGCTAAACATAATTGGATAAATTGATTCTTAATACAATTTAATTAGATTCAGATATTTTTTGCATTACTGTACATAATTAAGATGATTTACATAAATAATACTTAAATTTACATATTATTGCTTCAGTTTAGCTTGTACAAAATATACATTCCATATACATATATCATTGACGTATTATTTTTGTATATGGTTTACGTAAATTGACGTATTAGTAATACGTATTATTTACAAAATAAAGTGGGACGTATAGACGTAAAATAGAAGTATTCTATATCAATTCAATACGTATAATTTATTTTGGATTTACTTTGGCTCAAAGTAAATAATACATATTATATACTTCTGTGTGCTGACTGGGGGGGTACCAAACCTTATATTCTCAAGGGCCACGTTGACAATTTTTTGGGGAAAGGCGGGCCGGACCGTCAACATTTCAGTGTAGAAAGGTAGCCCCCCTCCAATACCCACGAAGAGGTAGTTTTCTAATTAAGAACTCAGGGATGAAGTTTGAACATTTCTTGCTGATTTTTTGAAGCTTTATAACCTTTCGACTAACTAAAATTCTATACGTTTTTGTGTGAATGATACTGTGACCAACAAATAATTGACTTGCCTCACATAATTATTCATGGGTATATAAACTGTGTTTGTCAAGTATTTATACTTTGTCATGACATAAGTAGCCTTAAAAATTATTCGAGTTCATAAGATAGTTAATCTATATATTAATAGGCAAGCATGTTTCTTTAAAACCTTTTTTCTCAGCTTGTGTGCATCGTGGGGTAAATCTGCGCATACCGTTAGAAAGCAATTTTCCTGTAGGTGTGCAGAATCCCTTTGTAAATTTAAATAGGCTCAAAGATAAACACAAAAAATGAGTTTAAAAATTTGAAAAAATTAACATGGATCTTATGCGTTGCCATGCTGGTGACGAAATAACAACGAAATATAAACAGAAAATCAAAACAAATGGAAGAAACTCCAATCACATGTTTTATTTACAGTGTGTGGGGTGAAAATAGAGAAGTGAGTACATTACATATTTTTGGTCGAGTTTCGACCACTGGACGACCTCTCGTATAAATTAATACAGGGTGAATCTCGTAAGGTGTCCAGTATTGATTTTAGACAAACCGTTGGTCCTACGATGATGAAGTAAAATTATTTCCCACTAAACCAACCCCAAGGAATAACGTAAAAATATTTTTAACGATTTTTAAATACAGGGTGTACCAGAAACTGAGGGTCACTAGTCCGAATCTACGAAATATCAAATACAAACGTATATCATGTTATACATCAAATTAAAGCTCTTTTCAATCCAAACCATTTGGCAGAATCGGATTTTGATTATATTGATTCATTTCAAAATGGCGGCTGTTTTTGTGAAAAAATTAATATTTTTTTGAATACCCTGTATTTTTCTTAAAAATGCAGATATCTTGATTCTAATTCAAATATCGCATTCCTTATGAGCTAAGCTTTATTTTGATATGCAACACATCAATATTATCTCTAAAACAAAAAGTTTCAAAAATATCAGTTTTTGAAAATATGTACATAGCCAAAACTCAAAAATTTCAAATAGCACCATTAGTCAAATACCATATCATTTTAAAGGTATTGGAATTCTAAGAAACTTTCAAATTTAAACCTTATGCGTATCTATTTTGGTTTTTGAGTTATCAACAAAAAACATGTTTTCCCACATTAAAACTCATGTTATTTGTGCGTCAGCCAGACGGCTATAAGTGTGGTCCAGCCTTTACCACCATGTTTAACAAATAACATGAGTTTTTTGAAAATACTCAATAAAGGCAGCCTAAAGTTGGCTACAAATATAAACTTGGAAATATAAACTTGGGGGAAAAAGGCATTTTTAATGTATTATTGTTTTTTATCTTTTTTCACCTCAAATATGTAATACAATCAAACTTTCATAATTATTTGCAAATCTACACAAATTAGGCTTTCCAACGACCCATTAAGTAACAAAATCGGTCCGGTAGAAGTCTAGATTTAGTTGTACAAAGTTTAACAAAAATATATCTAATTCAGTATTTTCTCACTGCTATAAATTTGGAGATCACTTAGATTATTGCAATAACTTTTAAATGGTGGGGAAATCGACCAACGTGGATGGGATATTCTGAAAGAGAATAAAATTTACTACAAACAACTACTATGCATTTATTGTAAATGCTTAATAAAGGCAGCCTAAAGCTGGCTACAAATAGAAACTTGAAAACAGAAACTTGAAAAAGCAGTTTTTAATGTATTTTTGTTATTTTTACTTTTTTACCACAAAGATATAATAAAATCACACTTTCATAATTATTTGCAAATCTACATGAGTTGGGCTTTCCAATGACCCATTAGTTAACAAAATCGGTCCAGTAGAAGTCTAGATTTAGTTGTACAAAGTTTAACAAAAATATCCCTAACTCCTAACTCAGTATTTTCTCTTTACTATAAATTCGGAGGTTGCTTAGCTTTTTTGCAAATTAATTTTTAATGGTGAGGAAATCGACTAAAGTGGAAGGTGATATTCTGAAAGAGAATAAAATTTCCAACAAATTGAAGCCATACACTTCTTGAAAACACTTAAAAAAGGTCGCAAAAAGTCGCACCCAAATAAAAAGTGTGAAAAACACCGTTTTCAATGTATTTCTTATGGAAAACATGTTTTTTTTTCTTTTCACCATAAATCTTAACAAAAACTAACTTTCATAATTATTTGCAAATCTACACGACTTAAGCTTTCCAACGACCCATTAGTTAATAAAATCAGTCCAGTAGAACTCTAGATTTAGTTGTACAAAGATTTTTAAAACTGAATTATATCTATATAAATAAAGTTAGAGTTTTGTCTGTACATTGCTCAGAATCGTAAATTTTTAGGTTATTTTTACGTTTTATACATTAAAGAAGCCGAAACAAGTCTCATCTAAATTTCTGTCTGTCTGTCTGTCTGTCTGTCTTTCTGTCTTTCTGCAACACTCAAGATGGCATTTTACGCAATCTTCTCCAGGAAAACGAGAGTACCTATCAAGACCCAAGTCATTTTAATGTATTCACTGGATTGGCGAGAGTGTCTTTAGCCATTAAAATATGGCCTCACTACTTTGTAATTAAAATTACGGACGTTCAAAAATGCAGTTTTGTGCGATTTTTGTCAAGTTTTCGTCCAATTTTTATCACATAATCATCTATGAAATAACGAACAGCTGTTCGGATCAAGATTATTTTTTCTAGCTGTCACTGAAATGTTTACAAATGTTGTTTACAAACACCGCAACCATTTCCGATCACGTTTTGAAGGCAAATCCCATCCAAGTGAGATTAAAAACGTTTTTCTGACATAACGGATTTAATTAATCGCAAGTGGAATAATATAGTGTAATCGTAAATTAAATAACTAGGCATCATCCAGGTCAGGAACCAGACATTCTTTGTGTATAAAATTGTTCTGGAGTTTTGATAACCAGAAAGAAGATATTGAATCAGTGTTGTATAAGGCTGGCAAACTTAAATTTACTAATGATCGTCACCAATAGCTTAGAAACAAGGTTCCACTCATTGACGACTCTTCAATGGCGGTTGTGTAAAGTGTGAAGTAAAAAATCACAACTGCAGAGGGTGATTGTAACAGAGGTTTACGGATGATGCTAAGCTCGATTTTCCAATGTGTCACTTTCTGTTCCTACCATTGACTATGTATAGTTAATAGTTCCTACTCACCGTGTGATGCAATCGCTGGACCATACAGCCAATAGGCCCATAGCCCATCTCTTGGGTACGTACTCTTACAGAATTATTTTTATAACAACCTTTTCGACAATGATCCTTGATACCGGTACTTTTCCATAGAATACACGGCCTACCTAGGTACTTAAGAAATAAAATTACAAACGTCCAAAAACCCAACGTTGTGTAATTTTTGTCACATTTCCTTATAATGTTAATAGATATACCAGCAATCATTGTTTAGAGAATACGTAATCTATTAAATAACAGAAAGTTATGTTGTATAAGGTTGTTTTTTTTCAAACTGACACCGATAAGTTTACATTAAGAGTTGTGTACAAATAAAGCAATTAATGGGAAATAACTTTGATTGCCGATAACTTTTTATGAGAAAATCCAAAACCAAGAGATAAATAACCTTGATTATCGCATATAATTGGTCGGATGTACTACAGTTCTTAACTGTAAACGTTGGTGTTTGGTACGGTACTGGTTCTTTTCCTTTTAACCATTGGTAGCAGCAAGAATCATTTTTACGTACCAACACATCACAGTAATTTACAAATTAGTTAGTGGTGTTGCACCTTATTTATTACAGGCGTAGGCCTATCCAATTTATTGATGTCTTAACTGTATATTTTTTGCTTTTTCTGTCTGGATTCCAAATTGTTAGTTTATGCTAAGCGATAACGCATTTTAGTAAAACATTTATTCAGCAAACCATCATGAATTGTTCAAACGCTTTGAACGTTGTTTATGTATCAATAGTTCGTGGTCTATTTTGGTAATTTTTACTATAAATCACCAATCAATCGTCTATAGTAGGCCTA